TATATATATATATATATATATATATATATATATATATATATATATAATTTAGTGTGATACCTGTAATTTGACTTCATGCTCCGCGGAAGGGTAGAACGGTATTGACGCCCGTCTAGTGGATGACATGACTTCTCTTGCATGGTGCACTCAAATTAACATAATAACTGACCTATTTACACCATTTTGGTTTTAAATCAAAATATAAAAATGAAATAAAATATTTACATTAATAATAATCAGTGGTGTTGTCCTATTATTTCACCGGAACGCGTATATATATACCTTAGGCCGTTCCTGTCTTAAGAGGAAGTACCGGGACGACCTGCCACAACACCACTGATATTAATGTTGCCATAAAGAAATAAACCAATAAATAGTTTTTATAGATTTAGCATGCTCAGCAACAAACTAAGTTCTTCTATTACCTTTTATTAATAAAATGACTTATACACAAGTCCTTGTAAATTAGTGTAGTTAACAAATTTTAAACAGAATTTCATGTAATACGCATTCAAAGCTTATTGCAAATCAACTTTAAATCTTTCCAAATCTTTCATATTATCCGTTTTTACTAATAATTTTCTAATTTAGTCGTTCAATTCTAAACAGAAGAATATTTTATACTTTACCAACAGATAGGATTCAAATGTGCTTTTTCACTCATGAATATTTTCTACTTAGTTTTACAAAATGCAGTGGAGCGTGTACTTTTAATTTTGAAGAATTTTTTAAATGTCATTTTCACGAAACTATTATGTAAAATGCATTTCTTTTGTTTAATTATTTGCATACATTGAATATAATCTAACAAAAGTATTAAATATAATAGAAATAAATCTATATCGGAATAATTTTGAATTCAAAATGGTACAACAAATTTAAAACAATAAAATCAGAAAAAAATAATAAAAAAATAAAAATAATTTGGCTTGCAGCTGTCATTTTAAAAATGACATTAAATATATAAATTAATTTATAAATTTACTTTAATTTAATAAATTTGATTAAGATCGTAGCGTAGTGTAAAGTACAAATTAACATTGATATGGGCCAGAGATAAATTTTTAAATGTACCTTTACTAAATTATGTATTAATTGTCCGTTTGTTGACTAACTATATTCTAAGTTTTAGTAAGATTTAAAAAAAATTCTCTCATAGATTTCAAACAATTTAAATTAAACTTCTTAATCTAAGCTGCGCAATCAAAACACAATTTTACGTTTTTGGGATGCTCATTTTTATTTTATAAATTGATTATAATTATTATTCTACATATCTAACATTTTTTTATATTTTTTTAACATTTTTGTGCATGCATAAAAGTATCTAAGTTTTCAAATTACATTTTATATAAGTAGTGCAAGCAATTTAGTCTAATTATAAAAACAACATTAATAATCTTCTTACATAAAAATAATTATATCTATATATTCGTCAGTTGAAAAATTTTACTTATGATGTTTTAGTAACTGATATAGATAATTTTTTGATATAGAATACTTTGCAATTATATGATTACTTATTCTTATAACAGATATATTAATTCGCAATAACTATAAACTATTGTTTTGATTTCTCTAATGTGTTTCATTGTTAGCAGGGAGCACTACAGGGACTTATATTTTAAATGTTTTATTGTTAGTACTGAAATAAATGGCTTATATATAAGATTAATAAACTATGTACTATTAATTACAATATCTTATAGCTTCTTCAATATCTAATAACAATTTCAATATATAATCTAAAATTAAGAATAATGTCAATTATGGTATATCTATCCTAACATATATAAAGAAAATGAATTATATAGAAATTACAATAGAACTAAATTAAATTAAACTATGGAAGACCAAATATTTCTTAGCTAGTGTGCAAAATTTGGAAATCAATAAAATTATAAATTTAATGCCAATTAAAATAGTTCATAAGAAAAAATCTATCAAGAACTATCAAACATCAATTGTAGGAGATTATAGAATTGCTCAAAATAAAACTATTTCTTAAAATAATATAGTAGTGCCTAAACTACATAATTTCAATCATCTTGTCAGTAAATATAAGTATTACATAAATCACAATCGCTGTTCTCTTTTCAATCTAACTAAAATTCAAATTCCACGGGTTAGTACACATTTATGCCCATTATGTCTAAAAATTAGTAAACTTATATAGTATAGTGATTAAATTTTAATAGGAGCAACGTTGCATGCAAAAATATTATTTTTAATTTTAACTTAACAATTGCATTATTGGTGAGGCCTAAATGCTAAATTATTTATTATAACTAATTAATAATATCTAATAAGAAGACGTGAATTATTTAACAACTAGTAGTCCCGTTAGACGTATAATTATAACAAAAAGCTTACGAACTAATGATGTAATAATATAATATAAGTTTAATATGAATTTGGGTCAATTCTATTTTTACTAATTAATCTAATCTAAAAATATTTTTACAGCTTTTTGGATTTATGCTTTTGGAATTATTTACATAATTTTACATGATATATCTCAGTTTTCAACAATGATTTTAATTTATTATATGAAAAAGTTTTGGATTGGTTTTATAACCTGTTTAATGAGTTTATGATCGTTTAATTATTATTTAAAGATGGTGCTTATTAATAAATAATATGTATATTATTAATTGTTTATACAATTAATAATATACATATTATATATTATTATTTGTTTATACAATTATTTTTGAAAACATTAATAATATGTATATTATTATTGTTTTCAAAAATGATTTTAATCTATTATGTAAAAAAGTTTTGGATTGGTTTTATAACCTGTTTAATGAGTTTATGGTCGTTTAATTATTATTTAAATATGATGCTGCCTGTCTTATAAAAATAGTGTAAAATTCGTATTAACTATATATTTATATCTATAAATTATTAATATGTATATTAGTTTTTAACGTGCAAAGTATCGGTTTTAGCTTCTAAAATGCTTATTTTCGCGCATTTCTGCAATTGTTACAGACTCTTATTGGTGATTTATATCCTATATATTATAATAGTTACTGTATTATTTTTTAACATTAATAGAAAGTATTTTTAAAATAATAAAATCACAGTTGAATACTTCTTGTAAGGAACTAGAAAATTGACGAATGATTCTATACAAAATTGCTACAACCGTATCAATATGAAATACAACTCAAGTATTAATATTTTGCGTTGAATTTTTGAAAATTGTTAAATAACCTGAGTATAAATCATAAATTTAATTCTGATTTGAAAAAATGTTATTTAAGTATGTGGATATATATTTTCCCAAATTTTTGTTGACCAAGTTGAGTGAATACTAAATAAATTTAAATTCAGTGTTAACGTTTTGCTTTTTAGATAAGTATCGTTTTATTACAAAAAATATTATTAATCATTCACGAAATCTGCCAATAATTATAATATTTAATTAAAAAAAATAATACAATCTTTAAACATTGATAAAGTTTTAGAGAAATTGGAATTTAGAGAAAAATCGATTTTTACCATTAGAATTTAGAATTTGTAGTTTTTGTGGGATCTTCTATTGCATTTTTTTAAATTATTGTGTATTTCAAAAATATATACTTCATAATGTATATCAAATTCATACTTATGCAATATATATTTTATGAAACAATGAAAAATTTACCTTGTGTTCGACCAAAGGGTATGTTTGTGGGGTTCTTCTATTGCATTTTTTTAAATTATTGTGCTATTCGAAAATATATACTTCATAATGTATATCAAATTCATACTTATGCAATATATATTTTATGAAACAATGAAAAATTTACCTTGTGTTTAGACCAATTAAGCTTTCACGAATTGATTTAGAAATTTATTCAAGGAAGAAAAATACCGATAAATTTTGCTATAGAAGTATGAATGTCGATTTTTTTCAAAGAAGATCAATTAAGCTATCGCGAATTTATTTATAAATTTAATCAGAAAAAAAGAAATACCGATAAATTTAAGTATGGTTTAACAAATTGATGCGATTGTAGCATTATAATTAGGAAGTTTCAATATACTAAGCATTAAAAATATAAACTAAATTTCAAAATCTAATAATATATTGGTCAATTGCTATTATTTATTTAGTAATTAAGTCTAATTATTTATTAATACTGCGTTCTAAAAGCACTTCATTTATGCAAGCATAACAATAAATTTGATTAATTCAGAGTAAGATCTAAATATCGGAATTTTTAAGGATAAAAAGTGAACAAATGACTAATTTATGTTCTTGTAAATAATAAGTAGCTAAATCTATTGCATTTTAATGAACATTTAGAGAAAATTCAATATTTTATCATTAGAATTATTGCATTCTTTTTAAATTATTGTGTATTTCGAAAATATATACTTCATAATGTATATCAAATTCATACTTATGCAATATATATTTTATGAAACATTTTTTTTTTATGAAAAATTTTTCTTTTGTTCGACTAAAGTTTAGTACAATTAAGCTTTCACGAAATTTTATAACAAAACATGAACTAATTTAATTAAAAAGCTAAGTTTAAAAATTAATTTAATCTTCTACTCAGTCCAAACGAATTAGAAATATAGATATTCATAACAAGCAAAAATTAAAATATAATTAATAAAATTTTCATATCAAACTGCAGTCTCAGGATACTATTAACGACAATTAAATTAGTGCATAGATGAAGCGCAAATAGATTAAATATAAAGTACATGTTATCTAAATTACGATAATATTATATAGTATTATATTATTAATATAAAAAATTAAACTATTCATCAATATATATCTCTATAAGCCATAAAATAGTTTCCCAATACGAGGTAAAATATGAAATATTCACATGAAAAAAAAAATTGGTACTTTGCTATTTTATGGCTTGAAAACCTTAAAGTGCAAATACTGTTTCCCATATTGGTCTTGCGGTACGTTTTCGTGGTAAAAACCAGAAAATACTTAAACTATTATAAAGTGGCTCGGTGAGGATATTAAAACTACAAAACTTACTCAAAATGATGACCACAGACAAGCTTATATATAAAAGTAAAGTAATATTCTAATAGGAAGTAATGCTAATAATATCTGAATAATTCTAATCTAAATTATATGCATGACAGCTTTTAAGAGCTAATTTAATATATCTGTTATTAGAATCTTGCAATCAATAATTGAATAAAATTCTTGTTAACTACAACTCAAATTATGTTGCACCGATTTTTATGTAATAAATTTAATGTTAATAAATATAATTGAACTAAATTCTCAAAAAGTGATTAAAAATTAATTATATAACTAGAGTGATTATTATTAATAGATTAAAGTACAATATATAATATAAGGATAATATATTTAAAATATAGGAGAACGAGAAAAGTCAGGAATTAGCTTGCCGTTGGTCGTTTTGTGATGGTATATGCGCCTTGGACTCGATTCGATTTTTATTTTAATTATAAAGAATAAGATAAAAAATTTGAAAGGAATTCATCATTTACTCCGATGTATACTGATTTCTGTTATGTTATGCCATATTAAACCGCTTTATAGTATATTCTGTTAAGAACTCTAATCTTTGCACACGAGCTGTCCTTACTAATAGAGGAAAAGACACAAACAGATGGATTAACAAAATTAATTCAAATTAATTAACAGAATTAATCCAAATATTATATTAACAGAAGTAAATTGCAATATGTGTTACTTACATGAACATTTTAATTTTCTATGGTTCTGAATTCTTTTACGGGTGAGGACTCATTACAAAGATTTGGTTCTAGCAAAATAACTCATAACATTGTCCGAATATTTAACCGTGTTCCATGGATTAAAACTCCTCCACATATCTATATTCTTTTTGGTTGATATATATTGTTTCAACAATTTTCGAATCAAGTACCGAAATACCATCGAGTTTTCAATTTCTACTTAGGATTCACCTCTAATGAAGATCGCATGCTGTGGGCTCGTCAAAATCACATCCCTCTGGATCAGATGGATAAGAAGTCTGGCCTGGACACATCAATGGTTTGTTATCATGGCAGCAAATTGGGTCGCGAGCTGTAACCCCAGTATAGGTCCAGTCACCATCGCAAGTTCTTATAAATATAGCCACCTGAAAAATGTAATAATAGTAATAAAGTTAAATTAAATTAAATTAAATAATAGTTTGGCAATAAAGGAAAATGAGTTCTATAATTGAAAGTGATAGGGAATGAAGTAAAGTGTTAAATTCTATATATACTAAGATTGAATACTCTCCTACACGACACCGTCGAGGGTAAAATAGAAGGAACAAAAGGAATGGGAAGAAGAAGAATGCAGACGATTGACAACTTACGCGAGAAGAGAAAATACAGGGAACTGAAAGCCAAAGCACATGATCAAGAAAAATGGAAACAAAAGTTTGGAAAAGAAAATACATGAAATAAAAAAAATGGGGATAGAGAATAGTGGTAATGGGATGAAGGGCAAGGAAATAATTTGTTGTGGTGGCTCTCACACCATGGACCTGCCTTCGGACAGACTACCATTTATTATTATTATTATTATTATAATATATACTAGCTGACCCGGGAAACGAGGTTAGCCATAAATAATATTTCTATAAAATATTTAGTATAAAAAATAACTGACTGATGTTGAATGTGTAAGTATGTGGTATATAAGTGAAGGTATAAGTTTTCAGTGGGTTTATCCACTGAAAAAACATGCCTCATATAAATATTCCTGGGACATAATATGTTAATATGCCCTCTAACAATTACTATAGTATAATTATTACTATAGTAATAATTACTAATATTACTAATATAGTAATTATTTATGGCAAAACAACGTTTGCCGGGTCTATATAATATAATATTATTCTTAGATCTTAGATCCTTAGATAGTACTATATAATATTATCCTTAGATCAAATATATCAAAATTTTGAATATAAAAATGTACAAATTCAATTAAAATTAAATCAGTCTCAGATAAAGCTCGCTTTATAAAGCGAAACCCTTGATAAAAATAAATAGTTTTTCTAAGTAATGCAAGTTCAATGTATTTTTAAGTTTCAAATTATAGAAAATTGAAATAAAGAAAGTTGGTCAAAAAAAAAAAAAAATTAAAAAATGTTAGGGGTGGATAAAAATAAATAGTATATCGAAGTAAAAATAGTTGTATATATTTTGTCAATACCGCATTAGAAAAACTAAAATTAAAAAAGTCAACCCCAAAATTAAAAAAAGTGTTAGGATTGGACAACTCTTAATAATAATAAATTGTATTTTAAAGAAAAATTCAAGCTTTTTCTTCAAACTCAAAAATCTGAACGAAAATTATGTCCAAAATATTCAAAGACAGCGCCGGATAAAAAATGATTGAATTGCTAAAATTAAAATGACTATAAAAATAGGGGTTGATAATAAAAAAGTAAACATTTGGGTTATATGTATTTTGTAATTCCACATTATAAAAAAAATTCCGTCCAAAAATTACAAAAAAAATTAGAGGTGGACTACACCTAACATTTAGGAGGATCAAAAAATTATAAAAAAAACCGGGACACAAGATGAAAATTCCGGGATTGTCCCGACCGAACCGGGAACGTATGGTCACATTTATAGAAATAGGTACTTAAGGTAAGTCGGTGCAAATTTTGATTTGCATTTATTTTTCAATCACGCATTAAAAAAATTAAAACAAAGAGAATTGAACTCAAAATTAAAAAAAAAAGTTTGTTTGGCAATCCTTGATAAAAATTTAAGTCAAATTTAATCTTAAACTCAAAAAACTCAACTAACAAAATAAAGGCAAAATTATTCATTGACTGCACGCGAGAAGAAAAATTATTCGATTACTAAAATGACTTTTTCGAAATAGAGCTTTATGGTAAGATAGTGAAAATTTAGGGATTAGTGGTTTATTTTTTGACTTCAAAATTTAAATTTGTATGTGTATTATAATTACAAATTATAGCAAAAAGTAAAAAAAGTTGATCAAAAAAGTAAAAAAAAAACTTTAGGGTAAAAAACCCTTAGCATGTAGGGTATTGGAAAATAGATGTTGGCCGATTCTCAGTCATACTGATCGCGATTATAAAATTTTATAACTAGCTGTAAGTGGATTCTGTCTTGAGGCAATTATGGCATCGTGCCTTAAGGCAAATTGCTGGAACTTCCCGTACCGTAACGAAATGTTCGAGGAATACTGAATGTTTTCAAATAGATTATTATAAATATTGTAACATTGTGTAATATTTATAAGAATTATATAAACTGAATTGCAGAGTTGAAATTAAATCAATTATTTTATTAAGACAAGCAGAAAGTTCTTTGAATCATTTAAATCGGACGCTTAGTTCTCTCAAAAACTGCCATTTTTTACATATTTAGCTCCGTATCTTCAAAATGGCTGGGCCTGCCTTTGCCAAAAACTAATAAACACTTCTCCCAATCATTACTAATTGAATGTTTTTTAGATCATTCAAATCGGATACTCCGTTCTCTCAAAAAATTCGATTTCTATTTTCTGCACTCTTTGCTTCGTATCTCCGAAACGGCTGGACCTGCCTTTGCCAAAAACTAATCAGCTCTTTTCCCTATCAATAGGAATCGAATGTTTTTTGAACCATTCAAATCGGTTGATCCGTGCGTCCTGAAACGTGACTGGAAATTTGTATCCATACATACATACACACACACACTCACACACACACACATCCATTTTTTCTGAGGTATGCCAAAACGTTCAGAAACCTTCAAAACGTCGAGAAATATAAAAATTTTCAATTCCGATTTTCGGCCCATTACAATAACTTACCCTACGGGAAGTTAAAAATAGGTCAATCCGCGGTTTGACCTTAAAACGCATTTTGGGGGGAATATTGCGACGACCATCAGGACAAGAAATATATATATATATATATATATATATATATTCTTAAAATGTTTATTTGCAGAAAAATAGTAGAAACAAAAAAAAATATTTAGACTATTTGGCTGCAAATAAACATTTTAATATGTTTCAACGCCGAATAAAAAAAATCTAAATTAACTTAAAGTTAAGTACTTATATATACTAAAATATAATATACTTTATGAACCAAAAACGTATATCATAAGTATATTTTATATCAATGTGATAGTTTCAGCAGGTAAATAGTTAAAGCAAAGTTTTACCTTGACAGAGTCCAGATGAGAAACAGCATCGCAGAGTACTTCAGGCCCGCGAGCTCCTGCTGCTCTTGCCAGTGCAAGGCAAAGTTTCTTGCAGGAAGCCGCTCCTTCTTCATTGCAAGGAACTTTTACTCCTGGCGATTGGGACAGAAGAGGTGATCTGTCTGCTTCGCCTTCGGGGGAATCGAAAGCTGCACATTGGCATAGTCCACTCTCGAAATCATCCAAGGAATGGCTACCTTGACCACTAAATGAAAAAAAAAAGAAATAAATAAGAGTTAAAATTATAAATGGTAGATCATTATAATTCATAAAAAGAATCCGGAAAATCTATGAAATACAACATTTACTATTATACATAATTATTTATTGATCATGATAATATATAAATTGAGAAATGCATAGTTGAGTCATATACAAATAATGAAAATAAATTACTAAAATAATAAATTCTTACCTTAGAATGAGCAGAATGGATATGGTAAATATCAAATCCAGATACTTCATCTTGAACACAAACGTAGAACTTCCAGTCCGAAAAATATGTTTGAATGACTTCCAACCGAAGACAAAATCAGATATGAAGATATTGGCCTGCACGTGCGGTTTATATACCCTTTCTTGCTGCTCCTCTCTGAAAACAAATACTGTTGCATTGTGTATTCAGGGACTGTGAACTGAAACTGGTGAATTTTGAACATTTTTTGATAAAACTAATGAAAAATAAATTATTGAGCAAGATTTATAATATACCAATGATAATAAAGACAGTAAATGTTAGTGATAAAATGGATGAAAATAGTTATATAAATACAAAAATTATTTTAATGGTAACTGAACGTATTTTTTATTTTTTAAGGGGTTACATGGGTTTCACTGTTTCAAAAAATCAAAAAAAAAATCTGTTGTATTAAATTCTATAACATCTCTAGAATATTGTCCTAAATTTTTAAGTTGATTCGACTAATAGTTTCGGAGATACAGCCTTGAAAAAGTGGACGCTTGATCCTCTCCATCTTTATTGTTTCTTAAAACTTTAAACGCGATTTTCTCAAAACTATGTTTTCAAAGGCGGTTGTCAAGATTTCTTAGGAACTACTCAACTGATCTTGATGAAATTTTACACAGGTCTTCGAGATATTGTTTACAAGGTATTGAACGAAGGGTTTTCGTTTTGTTTAATTACAACTATTTAAAAAAAAAGAATGTCGAGAAATTTTAATCGGAACTTGCATTTTTTTTATAAAAACGTCTGCCAAAAATCCATTTTCATTTTTTTCTTTTTTTTTCGTCCAATACCTAGTTTATTGTTTTTACTAAAACACGTATTTTTTATTTTTATTTCGGATGATCCTGAAAGAAGTTCTGCTGACAAAGCGAAGGCACCTTTCTTTCCGAGGGACTTCCGGAAATGGCGTCGTAATGACCGCGATTTTGATATTTTTTTTGAAAATTTTACAAAATGTTTATTAAATATGTATCTTTTATTTAAAAAAAAAATTATTAAAATATTTCATTTTTTATATGTAAAAAACCTAATTGAAAAAATGCCGTTTTTTGCCCGAAGAAACCCATGTAACCCCTTAAATCAGGACAGTAACTAATCCATGATAGTGGGGGTTGTATTTATGCTGAATAAGTTATAATATGATTTAAATTAACAATAATTAATCAATCCCTTTATATTTTTCAGATTATGTTTTTTTCGCTAAAGCCTTGTATAAAATTCTGTGCTTCATTACTTTAATAAAAAATATCGTTTAATAGAGTGTGCAGATTTCATTCGAGTCTTGTTATTTGTCTAACGAACTTAGGCAGTCAGAAAGTTCGTTTTCGCAATTTTTTGGTAATTTTTGTATATTTGAATATGAAAGTTCAAAAATTAAATTTCAAATTGAAATCGGTTTTTAAATCGACAATTACTATATAGATATTTAATGTGTTTTGTTTTAATAAAAAGTTTTTTTTATTTAAAGATTTATTTATTTCTGATTTAATTTGTATTTTTAAATTCGATATAATGTTGCCAATACCCTTAATTTTTGCACACAGCCCCTTCAAAATTTTCCGATGTACTTTTGAACCCAAAATGTTTTCGCTAACACAAGACAAAATATACATATCAGTCGGTGCCGGAAATTGATATTCGAGGAAATTTGATAATTGTTTGTCTTAAAGACATGCAGTCTTATAGAATAATCATCGCATGCCATTGTTTGTGATGGCTAATATACATCCTCGAACAAAGATGTTTTTAAACATATTTGATTACAATTTGATACGAACATGGTTTTCAAATACCGATGCATGATATGGATTGCAAAACAACAAAAATTATATATATATATGTGTGCGTATTTGTTCAGCTTCTAACAAGGAATCCAAAATCCAGAAATTTGAATCTAATCCAAATGCACAAAAATCCCAAAGAGTTTTTTAAAAACTTATTTTCATTGTCGATGTTTCGGAACTAACGAAAGTTCCATCTTCAAGAGAAAATGATAAGAACATGATCATTCTTAAAAAGATAGCAAACAAAACAAATTTACCTAATAAAAATTAGAAATATGTAAATATACTTAATTCATCATTTTAAATATTAAAAAATTAGTGAAAAGAAATCTCATTGAAGAAGACTTACATTCATTATTAATAATTACAATTGTATATTTAAACTCTTTGTAGTAGATTTACATTCTTTTGAAGTAGATTTATACTTTTGATTGTAGATAACAATTGTAATAAATTTATATTCATTTACTCAATCCATATTTTCACCCATTCTCTGTAATTTTATCCTTACATCAGAGGTCTTTCCAATAGTAGATCCATGAAGAAGAAGAAGAGAAATGAATGTCCTACTTACGAAAAATTAATCTATGATAGTTGAAATCACATATAATTCAACAAATCACCTTTTACATTAATTTTTCTTATTTATCAATTGTTGAGATATTTATTATTTCACTGAAGTCGTTCCAATGTGAATAGTCTTGGCCATAGATAAGGAAATGTTGGTCCTGGCATATATGCCATATAAAAAATGGTTAAAATATGACGAATTTTATAAATTTACTTATAATTTAAAATTTCCTTTCAAGAATGTCCTGGTGATGGACCTGGTCATGTAATGGTTGACCAAGAAAGCTTTGATAACGACTCATTCTTTTATAAATTGCTAAAAAACAGCTTTTATGTAAGAACCAGCCCAAAAGTCCTTATGCTATGAGATGATATCATTGTTTATGATATATCTTAGCTCAGTATAAATCCCTTTGAAATGATATATATTTTCCTAAATGATTTATATAAAAATCATTCAGATAAAATGTCTGGTCTAGGCTATGATCATCTTAAAAAATATAATTTTTTGATTCTGAAAATTTACAAACAAAATTATATAATACAGAAAAGTTTTGTGTGAACAAATGATAATTTTTAGCACTAATAGCAATAGTAAGAACCAAATCGAATGTAGCTGGTTTTATCTGATAAATATTTAATATTGCTTTAGAAACCTTCGTAAAACATGAATTCCTAGTCCCTTTTACATTGTGTTAATACTGTATCTTTGACATCTTTCAAATATTTACTCATTCCTTCGTTTAAAACAAGGGCATTATTTTTATCACAGGGCAACTAGGCAGATCTTGGTTGATTGCCCATGTATTTCATCCAAGATTTCAAAGAATCCTTTTCTACCTTCAATGAATTACTAAAATTTTGACATGAAGAAATATTATATATCTGACTCACTAATGCATTCAAAATTATTTGAGTATGTAATGCTACTTCACATATAGATATAGTGTCATCTGTACGATCCAATAGTTTTATCGTTTTGGATTCTTATAATTTTTTATTGTTGATAAAGTAAAAGCAGGTCTTCTCCAAATACTGTATCGGTCATGTTTCAACAAATCATCTGCAAGATTTATTTTCTTATGTATACCTTCGATTGTCACCTGATTCATTGTCTGATATTTGCCAGCAGCCAGTTTGAGTTTTTTATAAAAAAAATTTGATGGTGTATTTTTTCGGTGCTTTTAATGCATGTATATAAAATGATATTTAGTCTCCTGAAGCTATATTATATAAACACATCTTGCTGTCTTTGGATACAGCAATTATATTTTAGATCACTTGGGAAAAATTTTACCCTCGGCATCAGTGATGTCAAGTTTTATAATGCGGAATTAATATTCATTTATACACCCACTAGGGTTGACCTTGCATTATCCAAAGTTAGCTCAGTAAGACTATTCTTTTATTAAAGAATAAACAACTTTTTTTCTAGAAATTCAACAAGTGACATTAAGCTTTTATAAATATATTGAGAAGAAAATTGTTTTAAAGAAATAACTATTCTGGTATGGTCAACTCATAATGCTATAAAATTATATGCAAATATGTGAGCACATAATATAGATTATGTAAGCAAAATAATGGCATAATAGAAATATTCAGATGCGCTTTTTATATTGAATCATTCATAAATCTTACATGAACTTTTATTTTTAACAAAATGCAGTCATACATATTATCTATGAGATATTTTGCTAATAAATTTAACAACATATACAAACAATATGTTTAATGAAAATGGATCTTATTCAAATGTTATATTACCATTTTATAATGAAAAATATAAAAATATTGATTCAAATTCAATATTCAAATAAAATAATAATACATCAAGATATTTACATAATTGAATATAAAAAATATGCATCACAATATTTTTTCAAAATACAGACACGAAATATTTGTTTAAAAAACTTAGAAATACATATATGTGTATAACAATTTATAAAAAATATTGGCATCTAAAAATTTGATTAAAACTTGTATAAAAATATGTTCTATATGTTATTTAAACATGGTGTGAGAGCTTGAATGAGCAAAAAATCAATCATATTATATTGAAATTTTAACTTTAAGTTTCCATAAGATTATTATTTATCTTCTCTAAGGCATAACGTAGATTTTGTGCGAGACCCATTGAGCAACCATATTTTTCTATTGTTGCAAATGGAAATGTTCTGAAGTTTTTCTCTTGATCAATATATGTTACAGCAGCCATTAATGGGCACATTATGATTTTAGTGTGATCCAGGAAATTAATCTATTAAACAGAAATAGAATTACTATTAATATAGTTCCTAATGGAATATAGCACTTATCAAGCTTTTGTTTCAAGAGTTTTCTTAACTATATATAATACATAATTTTGAATAACTCAATCACATTTCATTTATTAAAAATACAAGATGTATTAAAAAAATAAAAGAAAATTTTTAAAAACACCAAAATTATAGCACTTGGTGAAAAGCATTTTTGTTTTAAAAATGTTTATAGAAAATGAATACCTGAACTGTGCCATTTGTTAAATGCATTATAACACCAGAATTTGTCCTAAACCATTGGTGTAAATGTGGAATTCTAGACAATGAATCACATTCCCGCACTGGTACAGAAGCACCAGCTTTCATAAGATGCTCCGACAT